ATCGATTCATAGGGATCCATCGAAATGTTGACCCGAAGAGCTTTGGGAAAAAAAAGGTCCCATAGTGCCATAGTTTCCTCCCATGGTGCCTTCCGATGCAGTGAACGAACAGCTCATGGCGCAGGGTAGCTTTCACGACATCTGAAGTCCAAGAAGTTGGGTCACCGCCAGAGTGCTAGGTTTTCACGGAAAAAATGTATGACTAAGCAAAAAGAAGTTGGGTATCCACAATGTCCATGGTTGGGGAACTATTTATTTGAACCAGATGTTCTTTTGTATATCTCTAGGATTCTCTAGGTCACAGGAAACAATGCTTAGGGTGCTGTATCCCGTGATTTGGAAGATACCCAAATACGAACTCTCCACAAATGTGATTTTGGCTAAGGCTAGATGGGGATCTCAGGGATAAGCTGGATATGTGGATAAAGACAATAAGCTGGATAGAGAGAGAGAGAGAGTGCGATCGACTACCTATATCCTTCGCAAGAAGGGTGATTATGTCTAGCTAGTACAAGGGGGTTGTTTTGCATCAGTCATCTTTAGTAGGTAAGTTGTCAATCACGGTTGGTTAACTTTTCAAACAGGCTGGAAGATGCTCGTGTAGAAGCTAGTTTCTATGTAGATCCTATCAAATAGGGGTTTCCATAGTCATGGGGGTACCCCAATGGCTGGATGGTTTATATTGGAAAACTAAAATACATGACTTAGGGGTACCCCCATTTTAGGAAACCTCCAAATGATTTTTCCTTCGTTTTCTTTCACACCGGCCATGCAGCTAAGACAATCGCTTACTGGCAGTCTGACAGCGTTTTGGCTGGCGAATCTTTGTCGCTTGCGAAACTTTGAGCACACGCATCAAGAAAAAGGTACCTTGTCCCGGAGCTGCAGAGGAGCGCTCAGTGTTCATCCTTTGGTGTTGTGGGATGCTCTTCAAAATCTCAATCTCAGTCAGAAATATCCCTCATCTTTGTTGGCTGTATCGTATGGGTCCCATTGGGTACTCCGAAAGTGGGCGTCGCTGCATCGCTTGCAACTGGCCGGATGGCCAAAAAAAATCGGAATGTGTTGGGTGTATCCCCATATTCATTGTCATACCGTTGCGGCCACCGAAATCGGGGTGGTTCCTGGTAGAACAGTGGATATCGGTGGCTTTGTGTCTTGGCAAGATCTGCCCCTCGCGCTTTTCGTTTTCTTCGGCCGCGGTCGACTGGAAAAAGGTGCACCCATCGCTGCGGCCGACCCAAAGGATGCCACCAGCGGCACCAGCCACAGAACTCCACAGGTTTCCAGAGGCTTCAGAGTTCATTATTGGGTAAAAAAGTAACTACAGTAGCTAGCTGGTAGTTCCAACATGTTCCAACCCCCCAAAAGCAAAATTTGCTCAATTGGAATCATCCCCGCAAACGGGGCTGAATTGTCTGAAAAGGTGGAAACGCGCCACCCAGATAAATGACAAGATATAACAAAATGTTACGAAACACTTCATTTCAATCTTCAATCATCCAAGATGTGTCAGGCTCCACAAATTGGGTAGGTAAACCACCGGATTTGGTTTTTTCGAACCACCGGATTTGGAAGTACCCCTTGGAGAGACCATGACAGCTGTGAGCACCACCTGTTCGTAGCTGGAACTTCGCCACAGCACCAGGAGACGATTTGGTCTCGCACAGCACCAGCTGGTTCTAGAGTCAAGGAAACCAGTGTTTTCAGAGTGTTGTTGTAAGGGAAAAATCGAGAAAATGTGGATTTTGCAAGGTTTTAAGATGCTGTCAGCTACAGGATGGCCTATTGACTGCAGTAATTTTCTCCATTGAGGCACAGTTTCCGCTCATGAAACACGGTGCTGACAGCTCCACAGGAGGTCCGCCACTTGGTGGTAACACTCAACGCGGAGCTGCCTTAAATTCCCATGGGTTTCGGCTTGCGCTGGCTGAACAATCCCCCCGTTTTTGATGGAGAAACCCAGCAGGGGAACTTTCCAGCCAGGTCAGATTGCCAGTTGACTTTTAAATGTGGCTCCTCCGACCTGCCCTGTGTTCCGCGCAATCCACAGTCACAGGACACTTCAGAGAGTCCGAAACAACGATCTGTACTGGAAGAACTACAGTATCGATAGACACCTCACACATTTTTCTTGCCACTACGTCCGCAACGATTTTCGGAATTTTAAGATGTCAACAGTTGTGGCTGTGGCTCAGCAATTCCCATGACTTTCAATGTCGGTTGACCCATGACTTTTACAACGCGAAAAACTTCGAAAAGGATGGTGCGATGGTGTCCATCGTCAGCTGTGTCGGCAGATATTTGACCGCCCAACTCCCAAGGCAGGTTAGCATCAACAGTTTCTGATATAGGACATCGATCAGCAATTGCATATGTGATAAATTTCCAGACCCTTGGTACTGTTGTGTTGGAGCAGAAACTATCGCTATATTGATATCTGGGCAAATCATAGTATTTCACTAACATGAAATAAGACCATGTTGGGATATTACCCTTACTGACCATTATTCCAGTGAGGTCGCAGTGAGGTCGTTATGATTTACGCAAAGATGTGAATAGAATAAACCCACTAGCACCAGCGCGACCTTTCATGCGGTAAAAGCTCCAATGCTGCATCCGACTCATGGGGCATGTAGGTAAATTTTAGATTCTGTACCGAAATAATCCCTTCCTCCTAATACTAAACGTCCCCCTAATACTAAAAACAGGCATCCATCTCCAATTTCCGAAAATTTCAGTTTGGCCAATTTGACTTTTAATTGATCCCCTTTAAAAAACAATTTAAAAATCAACCTACCATTTGTGGGTTCTCCCCCCTAATACTAAAAACTAGTTCACCCCGGGGTGTTTAGTATTAGGGGGGCCTAGTCCCAATCCCTCACTCCAAGCTGCCTAGCTACTCTAGCAATTAGGGGTAAGCTTCTAACTGCCATTTTTGGCAATATTTTAATTGCGTTATATAAGGAAATTTAATTGATTTTGAGATCGGAAAAAATAGTTTTTAGTATTAAGGGTTTTAATTTAGTATTAGGGGTAAGCTTCGAACTGCCATTTTTGGCAATATTTTAATTGCGTTATATAAAGAAATTTAATTGATTTTGAGATCGGAAAAAATAGTTTTTAGTATTAAGGGTTTTAATTTAGTATTAGGGGTAAGCTTCGAACTGCCATTTTTGGCAATATTTTAATTGCGTTATATAAGGAAATTTAATTGATTTTGAGATCGGAAAAAATAGTTTTTAGTATTAAGGGTTTTAATTTAGTATTAGGGGTAAGCTTCGAACTGCCATTTTTGGCAATATTTTAATTGCGTTATATAAGGAAATTTAATTAATTAATTAACATGACTTCGATTTGGTTCCCTAATAATAAATACCCCCCTAATACTAAAAACTACCTGCCGTGTTTTGTATTGGGGGGGGGGTTTAGTATTAGGAGGAAGGGATTACAGAGTTCTATCGAACTGGTTGCTTATTTTCCAAAAACACTCACGACTGTCTTTCTTCCGCCATTTCTTGAAAATCAAAGTCAGACAGAACAAACAGGAAGAGTCAGGTTGGGTCTTACACCTGTACAATTCTGCAAGGAGTGCGTTGCTTCACAATTGCACTCAAGAACTACCATTGCATCTTACATGATCAGAAACCCTGCCAGCTGCATCACACTCAGAATCAACATGCCATGCACTTTTCAAAACATTGAAGGCCACATGAAACATGCCTTGAGACAAACACAAAGTAGTTGGAATCATGTCAAATCCCTGGCTCCACACCATTGCCCCATTGCCGGCAGCAGTTTCTGCCAAAAACTGAGCGCCGTGGCTCTGCTGGTACCCCCTGCTGGCCTCCCCTCACCAGCACTGAGAGATTTACGCCTGCAGAAAAGCGAAAAGTGCTTGCCACTCGAGAATCGACTGAGTCTATCAGGGTTGGGAAAATTGTGGCTATCATGAAAACCTATAAAGGCTTGGAGCAACGCTGTCTATTTTTGCTCCAAATCTGCATTTTAATTCAACGGACAACAAATCTTGGGCAAGAACCACATAGCATGGGCTTTGCACGGCTCAGGTTGTGTCATTTGTGAAACAAAAAAGGAACAGGAATCATCAGATGAAATGAATGAAATGGACGAAACCACCCAAAAGTCTTGAAAAATGCAAGTCTGACTGATGATATACAGAGAGATGTTTCATTCTTTGGGTATTCACGTATAAAATTAGATTGAATTATTATTGAATTAGTACATAACTCGTTTCAACATGTTGCTGAGGCTGTTCAAACCACTGCAAGTTGGTCTCCAGGCCGGCTCCAGGCTACGACCTGGCGTCTCGCTTTGATCACGGACTCTGCCAGGAAGTGCACCTGTGCACATCCTGGCAGATCCTGAGGTTTCAATGTTTCAATGGCAACATGACTTTATCCAGAGCCGATCCTTTACAACATGACAAGGGCAAAGGACAAATTGAGAGAGGCCTTGAATGCGGGCGGAAGTGCCAATCTTAGCATTGTCTAAGATGTATTTATCCCCAAGGATGTGTTTCCTACTGAAATTTACTGTGTGTGATTGCTGTCACATCTGGTATGTACAACTACTGACATGTATATGTCATGCCGTTAATCTTGCGACCTGGCAAGTTCTTGAAACCCCCCTGCCATTGTCCTCCGCCACCCAATCTGCCGCACCTAGTGTCTGCGGTTGGGCACTATGCCTCAGCAACTTCCAAAGGAATCTCCAAATTTGAGCTGCTTGGATCCACTTCTGGTGGCAATCTGTAATCCACTTCTTTTTCTGGGTCACACGTTCGTTTGAACCACGCTTTAACCTGGAGCTCAGCGATCCACGATAGTCTCCCATTTGGTCGATTTTGACCCAAAAATCCATCCTGTGACCATGGCTCCTCAGCATTTTCATTGATAATCGGGTGATCATTCCATAGTAGACCTAACAACAGCAGACCCGGCAAACGGGCCATTCAGCTCGCCAGTCGCATTTTTCTGCTACAACTGCTCGCACGCCCCATGCCTTTGGCATGCGAGGTGGCAATCTGTCCTGCAGCTTTGGAAATCTTCGGAGGAAATGCTGTGTCCCAGTGCAACAGCCATGGAGGCACCATGGGAACATATCAGATTGATCTCCAAGAGATTCACCCCATCATAGAGGCTGCTGTTGGCGATCCAAGTTAAGATCTCACCATTCAACTTGCTGTCCATTGGGACGAACCTCAGAACCGGGCGAGAGTGGCAGCCTTTGGGGTTTTTTGAAGCCACAACAGAATTTAGAACATTACCCATTACCCGCAACCGCAAAACACATTAAGAACAGGTCATGTATGGAAAAGCTGATGGAGAAAATACCTTGAGTCATGATGCTCGTTGTGTGTCTCACACTAATTGAGGACCCCACAAATCCCCACCAGCTCTGGGGGTATCTTGCCACACAAAAAGCCATGAATTGCAGAGAGCACCCATATTTGCTTGGCTGTATACCCATGCTTCCAATTATTTCCAACTATTCCAGGGGCCTAGGTTTGGTGAAAACCCCTTCAGATGAGGATCAACTTCTGTTGAACGAAAGACTGGACCTGGAAGAGCGTCTTGTATCCCCGGGATCGCATGAGATCCATCGTCTTCTCCACGTAAGATTTTACTCCTCAGCTCTGATCTTGTGATGTCATCTTTGTCCCACAGCTGTTCTGGCCGAAATATACACCTATTGGATATAACTTGAGAGGGAAGGGTGAAAGATCGAAAGGTAGGTGTGGGTTGGAACAGGAGAAGAGAGCAAGGGAACGAGGCATATCCGCTGCGGACGGACGTGGGTGGAGTTGGGGCGGATATCGAAAAAAGTTTTCTGGGCTTGGACTCGAGGGCGGGTACCAAAAAGGTAGGTTTCAGGGAGGGGGGACACGACACACACACAGACACACAGACATATATATATATATAAATACATACATATAGTTAGATATATGTATAAATATCAGGTTATGGGGTTTGCGAGGCAACGTGTAACTGGGGGCAGCACATTGTTGCAACGCGGATGGGGTTGATTCTGGGGTGTACATGTGTAGAACAGTGTGGGATTCACAAACGTGGTGTTTTGACCCCAGCATGTACCCAAAGCAACTGACTTAGGGCTATCCTGGTGCTGGAATCTTGGTGCAAAAAGTGGGCCCGCGGGGTGACTTCTTGCAAACGCGGCTTTAGAGGCGGACCTTGGGGGAATCGAAGGGGGGGTTCAATATAGTTGTGATAATTATGTTCTAGTTATTATAGTAATTCTAGTCATTATAGGTGTTCTAGTTATTATACATGATAACTATATATATATACGAATATACATATATATGAAACATATTGAAATGTCATTAGCGAAGTCTTTTGGTTGAAGAGAATATCTTGGAGGAACCCTTGCGGAAAATCCACCAAATGATCTAGATATGCTGAGCAAGGGGCAGCGATTATGCTTCGGCAACCACTAGCCAAAGCGCAATATCCCACAATTGCTGGGTAGAGTATGCATATATATATATATATACGAATCTATATGTATATTGAGATTATTTAGTATATATATATATATCATGGAATTATTATGTGTATATATATATATACATATCTTTAACTATATTGTCGAAGGAAGTTGAGAAGCTAAACTTCCGACAATATGGACAGAGGAAAAGCAGAGCAGGGCAGAGGCAGAGAGAAGAGAAAGTTCAGAAGAGAAAGAGTCAGAAGAAAGAAGATGCAGATGCGCGAAAAGGTAGGAAAGTCGCGATTCACTGTGTTTTTCCAATGATTTGTGGTTCCGGAGGGTCGAAAAGTAGGCTCGCGCCGTTGTGGCGCGAAGCACATCCCCAAGTCAAAATGTACAAAACACACCAGGGTCTGACCACTTTTGGAAGTTGCGATGTCGAAAAAGTGCACACCGTTGTGGCGCGAAGCACATGTCCAAGTCAAAATGTAGAAAACACACCAAGTGCGGACCACTTTTGGCACTTAAGATGTCGAAAAAGTGCACGCCGTTGTGGCGCGAAGCACATTTCCAAGTCAAAATGTTAAAAACACTAGGGGTTCGGACCACTTTTGGAGGCTCAGAGGTCGAGTTTCGAAAAAGTGCACGCCGTTGTGGCACGAAGCACATTTCGAAGTCAAAATGTGCAAAACACCAGGGGTTCGAACCACTTTTGGAGGCTCAGAGGTCGAGTTTCGAAAAGTGCACGCCGCTGTGGCGCGAAGCACATTTCGAAGTCAAAATGTACAAACCACACCATGTTCGGACCACTTTTGGAGGCTGAGATGTCGAGTTTCGAAAAAGTGCACGCCGTTGTGGCGCGAAGCAGATTTGGAAGTTAACATGTTAAAAACACTAGGGTTTCGGACCACTTTTGGCGGTTCAGATGTTGCTTCGCTTAACTCGACTACACTACATGACACTACACTTTGCTGCACTACACTACATTACACTACATTACATTACACTACACTTCACAACACTACAGGTTACAACTACAACTACACAACTACAGTCCACTACAGTCCACTACACTAAATTACACTGCACTACACTCTCTACACTACACTTCACTACATTACACTACACTACACTCCACTACACTACAAATACAACTACACCTACCCAACTACACTCCACTACACTCCACTACACAACATTAAACTACACTACACTACCTTACACTACACTACACTCCACAACACTACAACTAAAACTACACAACTACACTCCACTACACTACACTACCTTACACTACACTACATTACACTACACTAGACTCCACTACACTACACTACATTACACTACACTACACTACCTGCCGCTACACTTCACGACACTACTCTACACTACACTCCACTACCACCTACAACTACAACTACACACCACTACATTACACTGCATTACACCACACCACATTACACTGAATGACACTGCACAAAAGATAGACAGGTAGACAGCTAGACAGATAGATAGATAGATAGATAGATAGATTTAGATAGATAGATTTAGATAGATAGATAGATTTAGATAGATAGATAGATATGATAGATATGATAGATATGATAGATATGATAGATATGATAGATATGATAGATATGATAGATATGATAGATATGATAGATATGATAGATATGATGGATAGGATAGATAGGATAGATAGGATAGATAGGATAGATAGGATAGATAGGATAGATAGGATAGATAGGATAGATAGGATAGATAGGATAGATAGGATAGATAGGATAGATAGGAAGATAGATAGATAGATAGATAGATAGATAGATAGATAGATAGATAGAGGGATAGATCGATAGATCGATAGATCGATAGATAGATAGATAGAGAGGGATAAAAGCGGATATAGATCGATAGATAGATAGATCGATAGATAGATGCAGATAGAGAGAAGACTCTTTTCCTTATGATTTTTCTATGTTCCCCTTTACCTTGGGATATTCTCCCGTTCTCCATTTCTTTAGTAGATCGATAGATAGATAGATTTAGATAGATAGATAGATATGATAGATATGATAGATATGATAGATATGATAGATATGATAGATATGATAGATATGATAGATATGATAGATATGATAGATATGATAGATATGATGGATAGGATAGATAGGATAGATAGGATAGATAGGATAGATAGGATAGATAGGATAGATAGGATAGATAGGATAGATAGGATAGATAGGATAGATAGGATAGATAGGATAGATAGGAAGATAGATAGATAGATAGATAGATAGATAGATAGATAGATAGATAGAGGGATAGATCGATAGATCGATAGATCGATAGATCGATAGATCGATAGATCGATAGATCGATAGATCGATAGATAGATAGATAGAGGGAGAAATAGATGGATAGATGGATAGATGGATAGATGGATAGATGGATAGATGGATAGATGGATAGATGGATAGATGGATAGATGGCTAGATGGCTAGATGGATAGATGGATAGATGGATAGATGGATAGATGGATAGATGGATAGATGGATAGATGGATAGATAGATAGATATGATAGATAGATAGACAGGTAGACAAGAGTGAGAGAGATCAATCGCCTTTCAGTCCAGCAGTGGCTTCGCTCTGCCATCTCTGATTCACAACAACCAATCTCTCCTATAGTTTTCCTATTTTTGAAACTTCCGCCACCGCCTTGTGCGGTACTACTGGTATATCATGTACGATTTTTGAGACTACTGCAACGCAGTCCGTCGCAACGTTCTTGCTACGACATTGTTCATCGCGGTTGTTAGGGTGAACGAAACAAAGTTCTTGAGCAATCTGACATTGTCGAGTTTCAGTGCGGGTCTTGACTTCGGTTGGGGTGGGGATGTATGTAAACGTGGTGGATGAAAGTGCATGTGCGGCTGTTGGCGTTTCCTTGTAGTCCGCCTATGTTGCAAACCCGGCTTTAGAGGCGGACCTGGGGGGAATCGAAGGGTGGGGCCCCCCCCCCCCTGAAAGGCGGACCGAGACATAACCGGCCCAAACTCTTGCACTTGCACCGCTCGCCCCCTAATACTTGCTACGCAAGGGGGAACTCAGGTAGCTCACCGCTACCTTTCGAGATTTGAATTATACCAGAGTAACTATTAATGGTAATAGCTAATGTCTATTAATATTGTACTTACTGGACATACATATAAGATCTGCTTGTGTACGACTTCAGACTTCAGGCACATGAAGTGCAGCGGAGCAAAATCATATGAGTAGTCGAGTGGTTGGGGCAAACTCGACTTGGAGCTACCACCAGATTCCAACATCCTTTGGCCATCCTGACATCTCAATACGAGTTACCCCCAGTCTTCTGAACAGATCACAGTGTCCTTGCAAGAAGTTGTGTTTCATCACCGGCAGTGGCAAAATTGCTACTCCGGTGATAAACATCAGATTTAGAATCATTTAAAATCAATGAACTAGAAGCGCATTGTTCATTTGTCTCTGATATGTGACATACATCCCCAGCACAGGCCTCATCCCATTCACAATCCTTCACCAAGACTCCTTTCGCTGAAGTGATGGAGGAATCCCAGTTCTCCATGACGCAGGCGCCATCCAACGCCATGATGTGGCCTCCATCCTGCAGTCGAGACCTCTGCAAGGCCTCCTTTCGAGTCATGGAGGATAAGCTCCTTGCGATAGGGGAGATGGCTCCAAACCGGTGAAATTTGCACATCATAGCCATTTTCCATTGAAGAATCTTTTCACATCGTTTCTGGGGTTTCATATTAGTTGTCAGGGTTTCTATCTGTAGGGCAAAGGTGAGACTGTTTGCAGCTAGGCCGCTCGCAATTCGCCTCGAACGGCAGACCCAAAGCTTGAAATTCTTTGGGCCAAAGACCTTCGGAGCACTTGGAACTCCCCCAGTTGCCAAAACCGTGGCGCACACTGCAGTGACCTGGGCCAGG